AGCATTTTCCGGGAGGCACACACGAGGCGGTTTGTTCTCAATGCTCCATTTATATGCATATATCTTATTAATGTAACTGTTTGTCTCTGAATATCTGTAACCCATGTTGTGTCAAATCTTTTATACGAAGGGCGACGCCTCCGCCGTTTTGAACACGACGTGGTATTCTATCCACAACAAGACCTAATGAGTCCACCTTTCGACAGGCATCTAATGAAAAGAAAAGGTGAATACTTTGGCAACAACCTATAAACAACAGTTGGTTATGTCTCACTGTTGACATGTGACAGTTTGATGTCTAAACGAGGTAAGAACAGAGATTTTGTTTTGTAAAGACTTCTTGAACCACTTTAGTGAACACATTTGAAATGATCTTTTTAGAGATGAATGCAGCAAAACACTCAGATTTAAATTTGGTTTTATTTATGTTTTCAAGGGAATAACATGTCCACACGAGAGCATTAACACGCTGTATGTTATCTGAGCAACAGTCAGTCCCTAACACACGCAGAACACAAAGACTCCAGAGGACAACATGGCATTTTCACACACAGACAGTAAACTGAAGATTCCAGTCTCCACAGAAAATACAAACCAAATAAGAGTCGATGTAGCACAGAAAATCAATTGTCACCTGTTCCTCCACTAGCTCCTGTGGATCCAACAGAAAATACTTCAACATGTTCTTCAGCCTTCAGAGGAACTCTCCCAAAGACCCAAGCTGGGTCAGAGGTGCAGAACCAAATTACACAGAACTTCCCAACTTTTTGTCTTCAACATTATTTCACATTTTATTACATTTCTGCTCGCCTTCATATGGAACACACTCGTGTTTACTGTAAACAAAACTCTGAACACATTCTGGCAGTACCTTCATGTTTCACGTACGGCTCCATCTGGACCTCTGTCAAAGTAGCATCCTGTACGCAGCGAAGCTTCACTCGTGATGCAGGAGTTCTTCAAACGGAATCAAAAAAAGCCCTTTGCACTGTGGCTGGTCCCATAAACTATTCCTTCAGTCTACGTAAAGAACCACACTCAGCTCTAAACATGCAAACCATTGATAATGTACAAATCTCCCTTTCATTACATCCCTTATACTGAGGTGTATGTTAACATTTAAATCACTATAAAAAAATACACAAACCATTAGAAGGAAGCTGAAAAACACTTATTTTGGCAGTTTCATTCAGTCTCCAGTTATTTAAATCCAAATCTTTACTAATATTGAGACTAGACTGCCCCAGAGGCCCAGCCTCCAGATACACAACGTTTCAGTCAGTTTCCGTTCATCTCCACACCTTTAGGTATGAGCAGGCTCATTCGGCCCACAGTGCTCGCAGCACTCTTGATCACCTCCATCCATCTGTGGAGACAGGACAGCAGAGGTGACTTGAGACGCATGCACGCCGTGTAAGAGAACACCAACACATCAAAACTTGTAACAAACCTCTCGAAGGTGTACTCGCTCTCTGCTCGGAAGAAGTAAACGTGAGACTTGAAATGCAGCTTGAAGACGTACTCCTTCTGGATGCCGTCCGACTCGTCGGGGGTGCTGACTGTGTAGCCGAGCAGGGGGAGGCTAGCCAGAGGGAAGTCGTCCTGAAACGACAAACACGTCGGTACAGCTGCGCTCAGCACTACAAGGGGTGAAGGGAGTTTTATGGGAAAAACTCTGAAGAATTAAAATCTTATCTGCTGAAGAGAGCTCAGTGAATGACCTCCGTTTGGACAAAATCTATTCCCGTCTGATGAGCTAACGGCTAGCCTGAATGCAGCCAAGACCTAGGGACAATTTAGAGTTGCCAATCAGCCTAACATGCATGTTTTTGATCTGTGGGAGGAAACTATTTAAATCTCAGTGATGGGGGACATCAGTGTACTGGTTGCTCACCTTAGAATGGTGCCACAGTTGTAAGGAAAGGTGTTTGTGCGCTGAGCAGAGTTGAGTCTGTGGACTGTATCTATGAAAATCTTTCCAAATTTTCTCTGCAAATATCAAGCAGCTTATTCTGCATGCGACTTGTTTAGAGCTTCTCGTACCACAGGTCCATAAGGTGCCTAATTGTCAGCACCTGTGAGAATGGACCCTGCTACAGTGGTCTGTTGGTATCTGCTGCAAGCATGACACATTTACTGATGTGGATAGCGCCTGTGCCAGTGATGCTGTTCCACAAAACAAGATTCTGCATCATCTGGAGTAATCTCTAATAACATCAAACTGTAGGTAGAGTTCCAGATAACAGGATGTTAGAGACAGGCTGCACAGTGGGCATGTCACAAGGTTAGATCCTGCAATCGGTGGCGTTCCAATATCTCCACAGTCTGGGACCAAATTCTATCCTTCAAGGTGACAATTCTTTACACACAGGACAGGGTGTATCAGAGACTACCTCCAGAACTTAGGAGTGGATGGAATGTCCTGCCTGCAGTAATGACCTCAACCCCAGTGAACACCTGTGGGATCAGCTTGGGCGTGATGGTCGTTCCACAGTGACCTACACAACCACACTGGCTGACCTGCATCAAATGCTGGATGAATGTTTGCCTTTATAAAGAAGTAAAGAACTCTACGTAAATCATGGTGTCATACAAAACTGATGGTGGTTTAAAGAGCTTTAGGAGTATAGCAGTTCATTCACATGAACTGCTATAAAAATGTAGAGATTTTGAGCAGTTTTAAGATGCCAGCGATCCATTTTGCTCTCAGCAGTCTTTAGACTCATCGGTCCTGTTAGACTGAAAGTCAACTGTATTTTTTCTGAACTGAGGTTGTACAAAGTATAAAGTTGTCATTTCTCTTTAAATCTTAAACCAACAGCACTTTGGCCCACCTGGTGAGTTTTGTAGAAGAACAAGCAGAAGTTGGTGAAAACCACCCAGAGTTTCTGCCAGCCGTTGCTGTTCTTGAACTTCCTCAGGAGGTAACCGGACAGCTGGTTCTGATCCAGACGAGAGACAAAGAGAACATTAGAGTTTAACTTCGGACAGTTGGGTCAATGAAATGGATTTTGAAATATTAATTCACCGTGAGTTTGCTTTATGTCACAAAGAGTAGTGGAAAGTGTTGATGCATGCTGGGATTTGATATGATGCCCACAGATGCTTCAATACTGTGTCACCACATCACAAGTTGTGTTTGATTCATGCACATGCACACTAGCTACCAGTAAACTTAAACTACCGTCATTTCCGGACTATAAGCCGCTACTTTTTTCACACACACTGAACACCGCAGCTCATACAATGCTGTGGTTAATTTATGGATTTATTTATTTTGAAGGGCTAACGAGCTTCCTGCTGCCAAAACATTTAGCCTCGTCACACCCGGGCGCTCACATAGCTGCACAATACACGTCACTCTTGGGGGGTGGGTCCTCGTGACTCAACAATGTTTATAAACTCTAAACGCTCTAAAAGAGCACAGTATGTCATGATTTCAGCTCTCTGCCACCTGCCAACGCTCTCGGCCACTTCTCTGCTGCAGAGCGGAGATCGACATGCTGCAGGAGGGAGCTTCTCCCTGCACCTGTGGGCTGAACACAGGTGCAGCAGGTGCTAAATCATTTAAAATAATTTATTTTAAATTTTAAAAAATCCATGCCGATTGTGTTGCTCATCCAATCAACCAATTGTGTATCATGCCCAATCTTACTTTGAAAAACCGTGGAAGAGCGAGTCCGTGAAAAACGAACAGCGAAGTAGCGAGGGACTACTGCATTCAGGTGCACTCAATAGTCCAGAAATTACGGCATGTTTGAGTTAAAGTGGACAAAACAGCTGATTCAGCTAGGTCTTGCTTTAAACCTGAACTGACCCAGTTTGTAAGAATTAAAGAAGCCATTAGTGTAGCAGATGAAACAGACTCTAAACAAGCGTGCTGCACTTCAACAGCATTCCTTTCATTTGATTTTTGATTCTGTCAACACGTCTGAGAATTTGTGAATTCATCTCAATGAGGATAAAATCAGTCCGTTTTTTGTTCTCGTCTCATATTAAACTATAGACCCTTTCCAAAAAATTAGAATATCATGGAAAAGTTTTTTTAAATTCCATAATTCCATTCAAAAAGTTAATCTTTAATAGATGATAGATTCAGGGCCCACAGTTTTAATGATTTCAAGTATTTATTTGTTTATTTTTACATCATTTGGGCTTCCAGCTCATGAAACCCACAAAAACAGAAATTCTAAAAATGAGAATACTGTGAAGACATCATCTCAAATGTGTAGGGCATGAATGTTTTAAACTGAGTGTGACACACTAATCATCTACTAAACTCAAAGCACCTGTACAGGTTTCCCCAGGTGTCATTAAACTGCTTCAGTTTGGTTCAATTGTCTCAGTTCTGTTCAATATGGAGAAGACTGCTGACATAACAAGACCAGAAGACCATCATTGATACCCTCCATAGGATGGGTAAGCCACAAAAGTTCATAGCTAAGGAGGCTGGCTGTTCACAGAGTGGCGTGTCCAAGCATATCAATGGAAAGTCCAATGAAAGGGCAAAATGTGTCAGGAGAAGATGCACCAGCAAAAGAGATGACCGTGGGCTTCAGCAGATTATCAGACAGAGAAGATTCCAGAATCTGGCAGAAATACAGAAAGAGTGGAATGAGGCGGGAGTCACAGCTTCAAAAACCACCACATTCAGACACATCCGGGAGATGGGTTACATCTGTTGGGTTCATTGGGTCAAGCCACTTCTGAACCTGAGCAAACGTATCGGTTTCCAATTAAAAAAGTGTGCCCCCCCCCCCCCCCCGGGCTGCCACCTTACCGTGGTGGGGGGTGGGGTTTGAGTGTCCCAATGATCCTAGGAGCTATGCTGTAAGGGGCTTTATGCCCCTAGTAGGGTCACCCATGGCAGACAGGTCCTAGGTGAGGGACCAGACAAAGTGCAGCCCAAAGACCCCGATGATGAGACAAATAAATGGACCTAGTGTTCCCTTGCCTGGACGTGGGTCACCGAGGCCCCACTCTGGAGCCAGGCCTGGAGGTGGGGCACGCGAGAAAGCGCCTGGTGGCTGGGCTTTTACCCATGGAGCTCAGCCAGGCACAGCCCGAAGAGGAGACGTGGGTCCCCCTTCCCATGGGCTCACCACCTGTGGGAGAGGCCAAAGGGGTCGGGTGCAATGTGGGATGGGTGGTGGCCGAGGGCTGGGACCCTGGTGGTCTGATCCTCGGGTGGTCTGATCCTCGGCTACAGAAGCTGGCTATTGGGACGTGGAATGTCACCTCACTGGTGGGGAAGGAGCCTGAGCTGGTGTGTGAGGCTGAGAGGTTTTGGCTAGAAATAGTCGGACTCACCTCTACGCATGGCTCGGGCTGTGGAACCAGTTTCCTTGAGAGTGGCTGGACACTCTTCCACTCCGGAGTTGCCCCTGGTGAGAGGCGCCGAGCAGGCGTGGGCGTACTTATTGCCCCCCAACTTGGTGCCTGTGTGTTGGGGTTCACCCCAGTGAATGAGAGGGTGGCCTCCCTCCGCCTACGTGTGGGGGGACGGGTTCTGACTGTCGTTTGTGCTTATGCACCAAACGGCAGTTCAGATTATCCACCCTTTCTGGAGTCCTTGGAGGGGGTACTGGAAAGTGCACCTCCTGGGGACTCCCTTGTTCTACTGGGGGACTTCAATGCTCATGTGGGCAATGACAGTGAGACCTGGAGGGGTGTGGTTGGGAGGAATGGCCCCGCTGATCTGAACCAGAGTGGTGTTCTGTTGTTGGACTTCTGTGCTCGTCATAGATTGTCAATAACGAACACCTTGTTCAAGCATAAGGGTGTCCATATGTGCTCTTGGCACCAGGACACCCTAGGCCGCCGTTCGATGATCGACTTTGTCATCGTCTCATCTGATCTGCGGCCACATGTCTTGGACACTCGTGTGAAGAGAGGGGCGGAGCTGTCAACTGATCACTACCTGGTGGTGAGTTGGCTCCGATGGTGGGGGAGGATGCCGGTCAGACCTGGCAGACCCAAACGTATTGTGAGGGTTTGCTGGGAACGTCCGGCAGAGTCTCCTGTGAGACGGAGTTTCAACTCCCACCTCCGGGAGAACTTTGAACATGTTCCGAGGGAGGTGGGGGACATTGATTCTGAGTGGACCATGTTCCGTGCCTCTATTGTCGAGGCGGCTTACCAGAGCTGCGGCCGCAAGGTTGTCGGTGCCTGTTGCGATGGCAACCCTCGAACCCGATGGTGGACACCGTTGGTGAGGGATGCTGTCAGGCTGAAGAAGGAGTCCTATCGGGCCTTTTTGGCCTGTGGGACCCCGGAAGCAGCTGATCGGTACCGGCAGTCCAAGCGACATGCGGCTCGGGTGGTTGCTGAGGCAAAAATTCAGGCATGGAAGGAGTTCGGAGAGGCCATGGAGAACGACTTCCGCATGGCTTCGAGGCGATTCTGGTCCACCATCCGGCGTCTCAGGGGGGGAAAGCGGTATGCCACCAACACTGTTTATAGTGGGAGTGGTTTGCTGCTGACCTCAACTCGGGATGTTCTGGGTCGGTGGGCGGAATACTTTGAAGACCTCCTCAATCCCACCGGCACGTCTTCCACTGAGGAAGCGGAGCCTGGGGACTCTGGGTTGGGCCCTCCAATCTCTGGTGCTGAGGTCACCGAGGAGGTTAAAAAGCTCCTCGGTGGCAGGGCCCAGGGGTGGATGAGATTCGTCCAGAGTTCCTTAAGGCTGTGGATGTTGTAGGGTTGTGTTGGCTTACGCGATTCTGCAATATTGCGTGGACATCGGGGGACGTTCCCCTGAATTGGCAGACCGGGGTGGTGGTCCCCCTATTCAAAAAGGGGGACCGTAGAGTGTGTTCCAACTACAGGGGAATCACGCTCTTAAGCCTCCCTGGTAAGGTCTATTCGGGGGTTCTGGAGAGGAGGGTCCGTCGGATAGTCGAACCTCGGATTCAGGAGGAGCAGTGTGGTTTTCGTCCTGGCCGTGGAACACTGGACCAGCTCTACACTCTCAGCAGGGTCCTGGAGGGTGCGTGGGAGTTTGCCCAACCAGTCTACATGTGCTTTGTGGACTTGGAGAAGGCGTTCGACCGCATCCCTCCGGGAACCCTGTGGGGGGTACTCTGGGAGTATGGGATACCGGGCCCTTTGATACGGGCTGTTAGGTCCCTGTATGACCGGTGTCAGAGCCTGGTCCGCATCGCCGGCAGTAAGTCGGGCTTGTTCCTGGTGAGAGTTGGACTCCGCCAAGGTTGCCCTTTGTCATCGATTCTGTTCATAACTTTTATGGACAGAATTTCTAGGTGCAGCCAAGGTGTTGAGGGGATCCGTTTTGGTGGCCTTAGGATTGAGTCTCTGCTTTTTGCAGATGATGTGGTCTTATTGGCTTCATCAGATCGTGATCTACAGCTTTCGCTGGAGAGATTCGCAGCCGAATGCAACGTGGTCGGGATGAATATCAGTTCCTCCAAATCCGAGGCCATGGTCTTGAGCCGGAAAAGGGTAGAGTGCCCTCTCCGGGTCAGGGAGGAGGTCCTGCCCCAAGTGGAGGAGTTCAAGTATCTTGGGGTCTTTTTCACGAATGAGGGGAAAATGGAGCGTGAGATCGATAGGCGGATACGTGCAGCGTCTGCAGTGAAGCGGGCGCTGTACAGGTCTGTCGTGGTGAAGAGAGAGCTGAGTCAAAAGGCAAAGCTCTCAATTTACCGATTGATCTACGTTCCCACCCTCATCTATGGTCACGAGCTTTGGGTTGTGACCGAAAGAATGAGATCTCGGATACAAGCGGCCGAAATGAGTTTTCTCCGCAGGGTGTCTGGGCTCTCCTTTAGAGACAGGGTAAGAAGCTCGATCATCCGGGAGGGACTCAGAGTAGAGCCGCTGCTTCTCCACGTCGAGAGGAGCCAGTTGAGGTGGCTTGGGCATCTGTTTAAGATGCCTTCTGGACGCCTCCCTGGTGAGGTGTTCCGGTCACGTCCCA